CCCCCCCCCGCCCAAGTCGGAGGTGAGATGAAACACGTGCTCTTTGCACCTCCTTGCAGTCACCCCGCCGCACCTGTGTCACTGCAGCAGCTCCCTTCCAAAAAATACCGTAGGAAAACACCCGTGCACGTGGTTTCGCCCACCTCCTGGCGCTGGACCACCCCATGATCCAGGGCACGACGTACGCCCAAGATGCCAGAAGTTCAAAGCTAGATTAGATCCTGGTAATGTTCCTCTCCAGCCTTAAAAAAAGGGCTAGAGGAGAAGGAAGATGGAGGAGGAGCGACAGCAAGTCACAGAAGGAAGCTGGAGGATGGAAATTAAAGCAGGCTGTGGTTTATTTAGGCCACCCCTTGCTGCAAATCCTTGGTGTGGAGATTACGCAGCAGCCTCCTCTTTCTCTGCCAGCACATGCCGGCTCTGGTTACCAAGAGCCAGAAGAGACCCTTAAGATGAGCCACGAGCATCTCATAATCTCAAAAAAGATCCAACCCCGAGCTCAGGACTACAAATGCAAAGAGACGACATACCTGGATGAATAAAGCCATCAATTGCCTGCAGCTAATGTATAACCAGGGCTCGAACTGCGTTACACAGACAATCTCATGGGCCGGGACATCATACACACACCAGCAGTGTCCCTGATACGAGGCAGATCCATATAAACCAGCGAAAACTCACCTCCAGCTGTCCTTTCTATGCAGCATCACCGCAGGTACAGGCAGATGCCAACCTGCCCTTCTGCCAGCACAAGGTCCAACGGTTACCTGCCCAGTGTCCCGCCTGTCCCACCACTGCTCCCCGTGCCCTCTCACCGCTCAGTATGGAGGTTCCTGGAGGTAACGGCATTTGGGCAAAGGTTTGCTGCGTGTTACCAGTGTATAACACTCATCTCGAGAAGGTACCTTGCTCTAAGAGCAAGTCACACCCAGGCGGGACCCCCGATGCTCTGCAGTGAGGATGCCCACCGAAGGGACACCTGGCAGACAGGGGACAGCATCTCACCTGCGCCCGGACCAGTGACTCAAAGCTGGGTTTGAAGTAATCGATGCGGCTGCTATAAAACTTCGGCATTTCCTCCAGGAGCTGCTTGTTTTTGGCTTCAAAGTCCTCCTTCACTGGCCTCAGCTCTTCACGGGCCTGGGAAAGGAGAGAGGATGGGGAGTCAGACACCTGGGAAAATGCCCTTCCCTTGGGCAGACCCGCACAGAGGCCACCCCAGGCCAGCAGACTGCTGTGCTTTGACCCAAGGACAACCGGTGACGGGTTAATGGAGCCTGGTGGGACCCATAGACCATCCGATGGAGCCTGGTAGGACCCAAGCGCCCAGCTAATGGAACTTGGTGGGACTGAAGCTCTGACCCTGGACCATGGGGAAAGCCATGGGACATCTAGAGAGGCTGCTGGGGGAGAGCCGTCGAGAGACCCACAAGGCCAGCCGGTCTTCTCCCCTTCAGAACAGGAACAAAAACCAGCCCCAAAGCTCAGCCAGGCTGGAGAACATCCCCATCTATGTCTGTGTCCCCTCGCCCTGCGATTCCCAAGAGCATCGCCAGAGGATCCTGCCCCCACTGTCTTTTTCGCCCATGACCTTCAGCTCAGCGCGTCCAACTGGCTTCTTTAAACAGAAGCGTGGGGAGAAAGGGAAATGTCTCTGAGATGGTGTGGAAAAGGGCAGGAGGGGGTGGGCTGTGAAATATTAGACAGGTTCAAGTCTGCCACTTAATCCCGGTGCCATTCCGACGGGAGGGGATGCGGGAGAAAGCCGGCGAGCCCAGCCCAGCCGCGGCGCCGGTCCTGCTCCCTGTGACAGCACGCCGGAGGGATGGCACGGACAAAGCCTTAAATCATATCAGGCTTAAGTAGGTCTGAGAGGAAAACGAGCAAATTCATCGTCTGCCATGAAACAAGGAGCGTTTCAACTCCCGGGGTGGAGTTCACGTGGGACACCAAACAGCAGAAGACTTTGAGCAAACAGCTCTGAAGGGAAGATGCAAATTCGCAGGTCAATAAAAATACCTGGATGAGATTATGGTATTTTCCATCAAATCTGTGGACCTCTCAGATGCCCCAGGTTCAGGATTGCTTAAGGCTCCTGCAGGCATTTAAGCTCACGCAGTGGTTAGTTAAGATCTTTTTTTTGGGGGGAGGGGATTAGATCCCACAGAAGTTCATTAAGGGAAAAAAAAAAAACCTCAAATAACTAAAACCTGCTTAATCACAAGGACAAAAGCATTCACATTTTTCCAGCCACAGCTTTAGTCACTGAGGCTAAGCAAAAAGTAAGCTGCTTACTATTAAATCGGAGGTCTCTTTTGTTAAGGCTGATAGGGCTATTCTTTAACACAAAACTTAATTTTTGCGGGGAAAGTCATCAGAAAATACATGTTCTTGGACGCCAAGAAAGTCAAGTGTTCCTTCGAGGATCAAGCAACGTTCTGCAGGATCGACAGATTTGGGGAGAAATGCTGGTGTAGATTTAATTAAAAAAGAATAAAATCATGATTTCGCTAAAATTTTGGAGAGAGAAAAGAATCTGGCAAAGCTTCCTGTTAACCAATTACAGCAATTTTCCAAGACGAATTTTTGCAACAGGTGGCAAACATAAAGCCTCAAAACGCTCTGATCTTCCCCTCTTCACATCCAGCTGCCTGCTCAGACGCGGAGGTCGGGGGAAACCCCCCGTCCACGAACTTCAGCGCTGGCCGCTCCTCCGAGCATCCCAGGCCCCCGTGGCTTTTATTCCCTTTTATTTTGGAAAAC